CGTGCCAACCATTATACCGACTAATTCGTCACCTCTATTTGTTTAATTTTAGGGGGAACTCAAGAGATGGAGGGGGGGGTAACGTTAAACGAAACTTTAACTTCAAACGGCCTATACGGTATTCACCTCACCATATCTAAATTTTACCATATTTAAATTTGGCTTATTCGCTTCGTTATACTGTATATACTTCTTATATGTGCCCACAAGTTCCAATTAAATTAACTCCGTATTCATGAATAACCTAAACGTTTAAATAAAATAATGTTCTTTGTAAGCGCCAAAAAGACTTGATATAAAATTTTTATTTTCGTTTTAACATGTTAACAATTTAAACATGTAAATATATTGACTTGCCCTTTGCTCATTTCTGCGAAAAACTGATTTAAAACTGATATAAGATTGCTCAAAATCGCGATTGCAAGAAGTTTTCTTTGAACCGATTGGTCTAAAAATACATTTTGTGATTTTTAAATGATAATCTGGTCATCTGATTGATTTTTAGCGTGAGACAAATTTATTTGATTGGTGGATCTTATTTGAAAACATCACAAATGATCGTCAATGGAAACGATCGAAAAAAGTTGGGTTCTTTTTTTTTATTTTTATTTTGTTATTAATCTTATTCGAGCTTTTAATATAATCTTTTAACATTATTCGGGGACCTTCATACAAGGAAAGTAATTCATAATTTACAAATATCTTACGACGCTTAGGAAAAAATATGATGAATACCCATTAGCGTATCTAACGTTGCTTGTAAGCTTGTAACTTTGTTTTAAAGAGGATAATCAAGTAACCTAACGATTGAACTTGGACTAGTGGTTTCTATGCGTTGAGCAAGCACCATTAGAATACCGGTAACCTAGTGACAGCTTATCGTCATGTTACCACTTTGATCAATGCTTACAATGCGTTTTGAGCAAGCACACATTAGGATAGGCCTAGTGACTGAGCTTGGAGCCTCGATTCGGCGGTACCCCACCAGGTTTTGCCTGGTGCCTGAGCTGCGCTTCGATGCGTTTGAACAAGCACCCATTAGGATAGCCCATTTGCTGAGCTTGTGAGCTTGTCACCTCTTTCAATGTTTACAATGCGTTTGAGCAAGCACCTATTATGATATCCTAGTGACTGAGCTTGCTACACATTATTTTAGAAAATTTACTAGTAAATTTCACTGCTTCTAATATATATTTATTTATTTTACAGTCCTACCATATTATTGTAGACACTTTTTGGGCTGCCATCGCTTAAAATCGGATAAGAAATTTTATTACGTGATCAGCGGATCTCAAGGTACAACATACTAAAATTTTGAGCAATTTCGTTAAGTCGGCGACAGGGACACGGGAAATTATGTTAAAGTAGAAATAATTTAATTCTAAATAGTATGTTAACGAAATAATTTAATATGTTAAAGTGCGAAATAAAATCAAGTACATTTTTAGTAGCATGTTAAAAATGCGAGTTTTTAGTAGTATGTTAAAGTGTAAAAAATGGTATTAAAATCTAAAATAAATATATTCATCTTTAAAAAAAAAAATTTAATATAGGCCCCAAAAGAATTTAATGATTTCTATAGATAGTTATCTTTTTTTTAATTAAATACTCTGATGCCTTTTACAATAATAATAAATATATAAATAAATGTTTTATTAATTGAGCGCAGTATTTAAATAATGGCATTTTTTAATAATCAACAAATCGCAATATAAAAAAGCCACATTTGTACAACGGATCAGGTGCAATTGACAAGAAAAGCTTTTTTCCCCAAAAACAAACGGTAGCAAGAATGTTTCTGATAAACGAAAAGACTATGATCTGGGAGGATTCTGATTGTTCTGTTTGCTGAGGTTGACTGAAAAGTTCATTTCATAAGACGGGTAACTTAAAGGGACAAAAAAAAAAAAGAAAAAAAAGAACCAGACGTTCAAGATCGCACATCTTTTCCGCATGAGCGGCATAAGGTATGAGAAATGGGATATTGAACTTTTGAGTTGCTTGTTAAGTGTAACTATAGGTTTACTAATTGGGGTTGTTTCTCCCTGTCTTTGATGTCAGGTCATGCTGAATATAAAATTGTAATAAAATTTAAGTTTTGAATTTTTTTTTGCATAGCTTCTTCGCGACCTAACGAGGCACTGTATTAGTGTGGAAATTCAAATTTTAATCGTCAACTATTTTAACGAAACGGACTTCAAAAAATTGGCTTAGGCCACGCAAAGTTGATTTTTCGTTTTGCATTACCCGCCGTCCCATTTTTTCAATTTTTCAAAAAAATTTTTTT